TGAGGTGCATGTTAGCATATTCTTGTACGGTGTACACGGACATAGCGGCACTGCACAATCACACTATCAAAGATACTCTAAGGAAAGCAAATGTTATTTTGAAGAGCAATTAAACAGTCCAAATCCAAATCACAAGCGATCAACAGTCCAGTTCACGAATCCAAAATTAGTAACAGTACGAAATCAACAAGCACGAACATGTAAAGATGCGCAGTAAACGAAGTAGTACTGATCGGTATCAAAGTGTGCAATAGCAAGTAAGTGATGTGCTTCATCCATACCACATACAGCGTGTTCAACCTCTCCTGCCCCGGGATTATGAGCCCCGAGTTGCTTTTTGTCGCACAATGTTAGAAAGACACAGGGAAGATCCACGGTTCTTTGAAAAAATTTTATGGCCGGATGAGACCACATTTAAGAAAGATGGGTACATGAACCTGCATAACTTACACGAGTGGCACGTAGCAAACCCATATTTGATGAGAGAAGATAGATCTCAATATCGCTTCAAGATAAACCATTGGACAGGAATTTTAAATGGTAAAATAATCGGTCCGTTTGAGTTCCCAGAGACTTTGACTGCTGAGGTTTATTTAGGTTTTTTGCAAAATCATTTAGAAAATTTATTGAAGGACGTGCCACTGAGTATTTACAGGGACATGTGGTTTCAGCATGATGGCTGCCCAGTGAGAGAGTATCTCGATCAAAACTTTCCAGGCAGATAGATAGGGCGGTCTGGTACAATACCGTGGCCAGCCCGGTCACCAGATTTGAATCCGTTAGATTTTTTTACTGGGGAACTGGACAAGAAAAAGTGTATTTCAAGCCGATTCAAAATGTAGCTGAGATACGGCAAAGACTATTGGAAGCAGCTGAGTTTGTTAATAACCGTGGATTCGCTCGTTTAATAACCCGATCTTTTTTAAGAAGATGTCGAGCGTGTATTGCGGCTGAAGGAAAACAGTTTGAGCATTTGCTGTAAAGGTAAATCATCATCAGCAGCATTTTGACGCCCACTGTTGTGCAAGCAGTTATCCTTAAGGGTCCTTGTGCGCTTTCATAATCGCTGTTTAATTAGGAAATTTTGAAAAATATTCATCAGTTTTTCTTCAAATAAAAATTGTGCATAAGTTAACGAGTAATCTTCTAAGTGTTATACCATTTTGGAATCCTTATTAAATGCGCCAACTTTTAAGGTTACTTGCCAAACTCTCGTAGTACATTTTTTTTAAGTACAGCCAGTTAAAGTTGAGCAAAGTTTTACTGGTTGGGAAATAAGTGGCAATTTTTCCTGAACGAGAAAAGTTGGCAGTAAGGTTAAGACACCAGTTTGAAGATGCATTATTCATCATTACATTGTAAACATAAAATCCAAAAAAAGTTAATATTTGTTGTAACAGGAGTTGACAGACTGCCGTAGGGTGTGAAATTTCTATATTTTCTTCAAAGACCTATAGTTTTCAAAACACATACATAACATTTTTTTAAATATTTTTCTGATAGCTTTTTCTGATAGACTTTGCCTATCACCCGGGTTCGGATTGACGTCGACTTCTGGGACACCCTGTATATTTTGGATCAGACAAAGCAGAACTAATTTGCTCTGAAAATGCATGTATGGGGTGTTCCATTTTGAAATACAATTTTCTGAGACTATATGTATTATTATACCAAAAAAAGTATACATGGAGAAATTTACATTAGACCCTATAACCTTTGTATACAAATTTTTCTCTGGAAGGTCATATAAAAAGTTGTATGGGGGTCATGCCTGTCTGTTTGTCTGTCGGTCTTTTTCCGTCCATCCTTGGACCGCCTATAACTTGGGAAACACCGGTCAGATGTTGATGATAACTTTACGCAATGTTACCACTAGTAGTGTCGTTTTTGAAAATTGGCCAGGTGGCGGCGCAGAAAATGTCGAAAACAGAAAAAAATAACCGCTCAAACTTCTGTTACTGACGTTTCAGAGAATCATTATTATCTTTGAAAAATATTGAAGAGGTAAAATGAGAGTGGTGGAAGAGGATCTACCGCAATTTTTCGATATTATATTAATACACGTCTACCTTGGTAATTCTACGCACCTATTATATTTCAACATCATAGATATTGCCGTACGTTTGCCCTACAAACTTAGAAAAATGAGCGCCCCGGGATTGTAAATACTGAATCTTTGTTAGGGGATCCCAGGGGCAACAGCATGTAACAGTGTGACGGCGCAGCACGATGATTCTTCGTATGTGCATCGTGAGCGCGATATTATCTATATATGAGAGCATTATGCCTGAAATGTAATTTATTGAGGTTACTTGACTTAGTGAGGTAATATTAACGTATATAGTATAGCATATGGGATATATCCTATGATAATCAGTTATCAAACATTGTTGACAAAAACGTTTACACCAGATCTTCAACGAAATGAGGTTGCACTAACGGTTCTGACAAAATCTATGTCTTTCTAAGTTGTTCCGAAAGCGTGGGACAGTATAAAATCTGTCTACTTGACACCATCTTTTTAAACTTATACTTTGAAAAAGGCTGCCAAAGTATCGATTTATCGCACTACAAATATCATGTTTATAAGAATAAGCTTAAAGCTTAGATCAAGCATTCTACTAATCCACCTTATTAGTTCATTAATTCCGATTTTGTATCGTATTTGGTTTCCCATTGCAGAGTATTATTTGTTGCACCTTGATGTATATGAAATACATTTTGGTATACTCGAGAGTAATAAAAGCCCAGTTACACAAGAAACAGTTTATCTTCAAGTACATCCACTAAAAATTACAGTTACCTATCCGGGCATTCTCCTAAAAAGTTGTGTAATTGTCTAGTATCACATAAAACTTATTTATTGTATGCCCACTATCGTTCGTAGATGTCCATAATAACAGTGTTAAGTTTGCGAATATGATGTGGGTCAGGGACAGATGAGCCATCTCATGCTCTCGAGATTCGTACCGTCATGAGAAACAGCACTGGCGGTACTCTGATATTACCGATTTGTCATTAGTCATCTCATCCTCTTCACGGTTACGGTTTCGTAATGTAATGAGATCTGCAAAAATATCTTTAAGTGGTTGTGGTACTACATAACGCGACACCGAGTTCCTGTTGAGACAATTAATGGCCTAAGAGCTGTTGGATGCAAGTTGAAAACGGTTATGGATGGAAGTTTGGCAGTTGGCTAAATAGGGGAGACCGGGGCGGAATGGGGACCGTAACATTCAATTTCAAGTTTGAGTGGGTAAATGATGTTACATAAATTTAAAAAGGTACATAATGATCTATTGAGGTATCATAAACATGGAAACACAAACAAATATGAAAATAATGTCATCAACTTAAACAAAAAGTGTCTTTTACTCCATTCTGCCCCGTCGGCGGGGCACGATGGGGTACTCGGGTTTACAAATGTCACAAATCAGTTCTGACTCGTCGTCGTCACTATCTATTCCCGCCCAAGAGTAATGAGCCCACTTTTTACACTGAATGCAAGAAATCCAACCTTCACTTGATGTTGAATATTAGTCGTTACAGAATAAACACAATGTGTCTTCTCCTTCTTCCTCCTCGGAGCTTACTCTAGCTTCTATTATCTTTTGCTTTTTTGGTCGAGACATCTTTTCTGTTTCCCTCATCTGCTTCTGACCTGAAAGATTTTTTTTCACTTTGTTTTTCTTTGATTTTTCTAATGCCTCAGTCAACTCTGCTTTATACGGTGACTCTGTAATAATAGTGGTTTTGCCTCTCTTTCTCTGCACTCGCTTAACGGTTGTCGTTAGCTTTGGTACTGGCATAAAAGCTTCCGGAGAAACGGCTGGATAACTAGAGGTGATCACTTTTTTTATTGGTGCAATAGGAGTGTCAGACAACCAGGGTAAAGAGCCATTTTGAGTTTCGTTGCTAGTTTCCTTTAGTTCTCTGGGAGGTGGTGTTGAGGGATCATTGAAGGAATTATTTTCTGGAAAATCATCGACTTGAGTTACTTGAGTAGGGGCAATTTCTGTCTCAGCAATGGGAATATTAGTTGTCTCGGCTGGTGAAAAGTCATCGTCAGTGAAAATTCCCTCGTTTGTTGGCCAAATACCAGTTTTTTCAAAATCTTTTAGCGCGGTTTTCATATTAGCGGCGTTAATAAAAGCTTGTCCAAACAAGGTTGAAATTTGAAATAAAGTAACAACCTTACCTGGGTTTGACCGCAACCATCTTCGCACTTCATCTTCGTAGTATAGACTTAAAGGTCTCATAAATGCCACATCTAGAGGCTGGAGCCTGTGCGAACAGTGCGGTGGGAAACATAATAAAATAACGCCATTATCTCGAGCCAGATCTATTACATCGATGTTTTTCGTATGAGATGCATGTCCATCAAATAGTAAGAGCACGGGAGTTTCTTTTTTTGCACCAGAAAATTTAATAAACTTCTTGAACCATTCGAAAAACACTTCCATAGTCATCCATCCAGAGTCATTTGCCGCAATCCAAGCTCCAGGTGGCAAGCCAAATTCAAATTCTTGTCTCTTCTTTTGTCGCGGGAAAATCAACAGGGGGGGCATGAAATTTCCCGCAGCAGAGCAACAAATTTCTGCCGTTACTGTATTGCCACGCTCAGCAGAAGTCAATACGCCTACCTGACGTTGTCCTCTATTTGCAATAACCCTTGAATTCTGCTTTGGAATCACTGTAATGCCAGTCTCATCGCAATTATAAATTCTTTCACAGGTAATTTTTTTCTCAATAATAACTTTATTCAATAATGCAAGGAACTGCGCGACTGCTACTCGGTTAAATCCCATGGCACGTGCTCCAGAGGTGGCCTCAGGCTTCCTCAAACTTAACTCTGAATGACGCCTCATAAATGAGTGGGCCCAGTCTTATCCCGCCATTTCTGTATCTTTGTTAAATGGATGCTCACAACCATTCCTAACCGCTAATTGATAGGCTAGCTTTCTGAGTTCTTTTAATGTTAAACCAAACAATCTCTTTTGCTAATCCTTTAAACATACAACTAGTTCTACCTCTTGGTCTTGAGTAAAAACACAGTGATATTTGCCAGCGGTTTTATCAATCACAGAATTTGGGTCAGTCCTACGCTTTTTCACGTATCCTTCCAATGTAGTTTGTGGAAGCTGGAATTGAATTGAAGCTTTCTTGCAACCCATTACGCCACTTACTACTGCAGCTACAGCTCGTTCCATAGTTTCAGAACTCCACCGTTGCCGATCGGTCTTTCTAATATAATTGCGAACCATCTGAAAGCAACACAAGGCATCAAAATGAGATCGTTGATAATAAGGGGCAGAATGGGGTCCCAACCCGTTCTGCCCTACACCGTTCTGCCCCACAGGCTACTCATAACAAAACATAATCTTTGCATAGAAACGCTTTATTAATATTTTGTCGTGAACATGCCAAAAGATACTTGTACAAATGCCGTGTACAGTTAAATGAACAAAAAACGCCAAAACAAATAATTAAATAACTTACATTGTATTAAAAATCCTGAAAAGTTATATCCACATGCACAAATTCATTACGTTTGGCCGAAAACACTTTGCACTGTTTGCTGTAATCTGTTCATTGTTGCCGACCGATGTGTGGCGTTCTACTAAACGATAACAGATAGCGCTAGTAACATCTAGCCTTTACACTGAGAAATATGGTATGCAAACCGTTTTGCCCCGGTACCCTGCCCCGCCCCGGTGTCCCCTACAGTGGTCTAAGGATCAGAGTCCTGAAATTAGAACATATAAATTTTTCTTTATTAGTGTTCGTCCCCATTATAATTTCTTATTCTGATCACCAGAGTAAATTTCAAAATGGTTTAATAAAAAGCATTTTATCGGATACATCTGCAAGGTTAACTATGTCACTTTTGATAAATTACAGATATGTTCCTTTTACTTCTCTGTCGGTCTATCCGTCTGTCGGCCTGTCTGTCGGTCTATCCGTTAAACCTTCGCCCATCTATAACTTGGAAAGTATAGCTCGGATTTTGATCAAATTTTCACAAAAGGGTACTGCTATGCCAAGGATGAAAAAGATTTAGAGCTTTTGAAAACGAGCCCAGTGGAACAAAAAGAAAAATCGCTGAAACTTCATTTTTTGACGTTCCAGAGACTCATTCCAGAAACATTGGCGGTTGAAAGCTGTCATACATATTTCACATATGATAGATTTCTCTGTCCTTAAAACATGGTATAAGAAGATAGATGATTTCATTACACGTATCTGCTTCTACTTCCTGTGTTTCCCGGCGTCACGCTCTCGATGAGTTTCCTACTGTAACTGCCGCAGTGTCGCGCTGCCTATTCGCATTGCCAGTTTCGAAATAATCGTATAAGCACGTCGAAATTATCGTACATTATCTTATCGTACGCAGTGCCGTAAGTCCCAAGATTCGACCTCCATCTCGAGGAGGGAAGAGAGGTGCCGCCCGCAGCCTATTGGTGCCAATTGAAGAACGAGAGAAGGGGTAGAGATGTGTGAGCGTCATTGTGTATCTCAAGATCTGGGAGTTGAAAGACCTCATTCAAAAATGATAATTACACTGGACAACAAATGTTAGTTTTTTAATTGTATCTTGTGGGAAAGGTGCACTTCTTTGTTAATTTTGGGGCGCTGAATCCAAAAATGACAATGAAATAAAAAAATTAGTTGCGGTTTAGAAAAAAAAACTTTTTATTTTTAAGGATATATTAAAAAAAGTAACAAGATTCATATACTTATAAGAATCACTATATGCGCTGTCTTTTTGCTGGGCTTTTATGGATCGTTTCTGGAGCATCTCTACCAAGAGTCCAACAGTAGTCTGTAAGCATGGAAGGATTCCACTTTCCCTGGTACCTTTTTTCCGTTGTTGAAATATCCTGATGAAAACGTTCGCCGTGCTCATCACTTACGGCTCCGGAATTGTCAGGAAAAAAGTCCAGGTGTGAGTGTAGCAAATGTATCTTAAGGGACATATTACAGCCCATCTTTTGATACGATGACAGCATATTTTTGACGAGGGTTTTATAGTTGTCAGCTTTTCTATTTCCCAAGAAATTAGTGACCACCAGACGGAAATCATTCCAAGCAGTTTTTTCAATACCTGTTAAAGTGTTTTCAAACTGTGTATCTTTCAAAATATTTCGACTCTGTGGCCCAACAAAAATACCTTCTTTAACCTTTGCCTCACTTAGTCTTGGAAATTTCTGACGCAGGTATTGAAAAGCTGACCCATCTCTATCTAATGCCTTGACAAAGTTTTTCATTAGGCCCAACTTGATATGCAGTGCTGGTAATAAATTTTTTTTCGAATCTACTAATGGCATATGCTGCACATTTTTTTGACCTGGCTCTAGGAATTGACGAACAGGCCAGTTTTGTCTGGTGTAATGAAGTGCCTTTGCCCGACTGTCCCATTCACACAAAAAACAGCAAAACTTTGTGTAGCCTAGCTGCAGCCCAAGTAAAAGTGCAACAACTTTCAAATCGCCACAAATATGCTCATCGTATTTTATGCATGTCAATAGGTACTTCATATTGTCATATGATTCTTTCATGTGAACTGCATACCCTATAGGAAGAGATGGTAAAATATTTCCAATATGCAATAACACTGCCTTTAAACTCAATGTTGAACTGTCTATAAACAATATCCATTCTTCTGGGTTATAGTTTATATTTAAAGCCGCCAGTAAGCCGTTAATGTTACTGCAGAAAACCAAGTTATTCTCCATATTGAAAAATGGTTCTAAGTCTTTGTGGCGTTTACGAAAAACACATACCGAAACATCGTCTTCTAACAAGTTCCACTGCTGCAGTCTTGATCCAAGTAACTCTGCCTTACATTTTGGAAGTTCTAAATCTCTTACAAGATCATTTAATTCTGACTGTGTTATTTTGTGCGGTTGGTGGCATGACGTGCTCGGTATAAAATCAGGATCTCTTGACGTTGATGGCATATCTTCTTCCTGACGAATCACTCGATCGCCATGATCTGATTCGTTTTCTGATTCGCAAGTGTAGGATTCTGGGGGTTTTGGAATAGGATTTTCGTCACTGTGAGGCACAGGTCTCATCGCAGATGGTATGTTTGGGTAGTTAATAACCGATTTTTTTTTCTTGGACATACCTGTGGCTTGTCCAACACAAGGTACCATGCAAAAGTAACAATTATTAATATGATTTGTAGGCTCTCTCCAAACCATTGGGACAGCAAAGCGCATAGACCGTTATTTGCACATTTAACCAGCTCCTCAGACTTGAAGCACATGTATTACAGCAGATGTGGGGTGCCCACTGTTTGTCTTGATCACCTAGTTTACAACCGAAATAAAGCTGATATGCCTTTATTATTAGTGGAGTAATAGACCGTCTCTGAGACGCAAAAGTCACATCACCACACACGTAACAAAACTGATCTGGATTGTTTACCCACTTTCGAGACATCTTGCATGAACGCTGTCAGCCAACTGAGGAAAAAATGGCTAATATAAAACAATATAATGTACACGTATGTATAACGTAACACAATCATGCCGATTACATCATCTTTCCTTGCCGAATATAAAAATGTAGCACGTGCATTCTTGTGAATTACAGTATATTAACACTGTCACAGCAGGAACACATATAATTACCGTATCTCTAAAACTTGAACTAATATTGAAAAAATAAGTTTCATTCCGGTTTTAGCACATTAAAAATAGTAATATTTTGTTGATTTTATTTAGGATATTTTTTGGCTGTTGATCAGTGTTATCGTAATCTGGCAACGCGGTTGCCGATTCTGATGCATCGTGTTGCGAGGTACATGCCAGGGGTGATGTTGCCAGATGAACCGAACCATCGATAGGGCAGAGGAAAATGTCCTTTAAATTTGTCTGTCTATATCTTCGTAGCAAACTTTTTTTTCAGAGGGCCTAACTTGTGTTGATCATAATTCTTTAGGGCTCGCGCAGACAAACAAGCGTTCAGCGTTCTAGCCGCGTTCGTGCAGCCAGTTCCTCTTAGAAGCTCTAACACAGACAGTAGGCAGTCACGACTACTGCGTTCCCTTTTAGAAAGACTACTTGTAGGTGAAACATGTATTTCGATAATTCAGAAGACGAAGCATTGCTTTTGTGGAATCTGGAAGAGTCTAATAAGAAAAAAAGATACTGGGGGCATCCGATTAATTGTGAGAGAGATGAAAAAGGCGAATTCAGTGTTCTTTTTCCTACACTGCTTCAAGATGAAGAACGATTTATTAGTTACTTCCGAATGTCATTAACTAGTTTCAATAAATTGCAAGATTATACATATAAAAAACTAAATAGAGAAACAATACACCAACTGGAGATATGTTGGTAGATTGGCAGTATTTTGACATTTCCGTCGGTATTTCAAGCCATGATGCACTTTTTTTATAGTCTGTATTACTAAGATCATATAAAAAACGTCTTTTCCTTACTAAATCAATTAATTTTTCTATTACCTAAGTAAATATTAACTTCATTTAAATTGTATCCTGCTTTCTTATGTCAATTTGAAAACTGAGCTTTATATTCCACAATATTTGGAAACACGTGAGAAATAGCCAATAATAGTTCTGTTCTGTTCTGGCAAACGAATTTCTAACGGTTGTAGAGATTTAGATATAGTTAACCAATTCAGTTTGACACATAGAGGTGAGCGGCACTTTTTTGACAGTTTGTTTGGTCAAGTGAATTAGATGGTTGCAAGCCGTGTAAGAATCATTACTAGGACATACTTATTGGGTATAACCCGTCACGTTGCTACCCTTTTTGAGTATTTCAGTAACCTGGAAAGTATTGGAAATCAATTTTTAATGATATCAAAATGAAAATGCAGTCATAAAGTTAGCATCCCAAAATACATTCTATCAATGTATGTATGTAAGTATGCTGCTCTTTATGCTGCCAGCTCTCCACCTATGACGACATTCAGAACAATCTTCAAATCGGTTCAAAAGCTCCGTCGCGTTTCCAGCAACTGCTATTACTCTAGTTGATCAACTACCGTAGATTCAATCACCGAAACGTAATTCCTCAAATTGCTCTTTTTATTTTTATATGACAGGATTGAACGCACAGAAATTCAATTCGCTTTTTAGTGTTCTTTAAGTACCTGGTATTATTGGTTTTTTGTAAGCTTTCCTCAAATGTTTTTGGTCGTAAAGATTTTTGTGATTTGGGGAGGAAATTAGAAC